TATCTCAGATTCTCCAGCATCTGCAGTTCCTACTATCTCAGGTGCAAGTACATGCCTGTTTTGGGAACAACCTGAAAAAACTGATTGTTTGCTTTGTTTGCTGTGCTTATTGTTGCCATCCTATTGACATGATACGCTCGAGAAAAAGTCCAATTTTGCAACCAGGTGTTGAATGGCAAGACGAGAATCTCACGAGTGAGCAGCAAGAGGCCTATTTGCATCCCTTAACATGACATTATCACATAATCTCACCTCATTAATATACAATTTCGCACTTGTTGCATTGAATCTAGATGTCGGAATTGTTGTTATGAAAGTCAAAGCGGGTGGCTGTGTGTTCACCGCTCGGTCCTTTGGGCCTCCATCTTGGACAACTGTCGCCAAAATCTCAGGGCATTCTCTACACAGCAGCTGCCTGCATCCTCCATCTGACACATACCAGCATTCGCACGCCCTTAGGGCACATCTCTGATCTACCTACAATATAATTCTGCAGTTCAATTCTGCACTTGTGTGTACATCACACTGATCCTTGCATGATGCCAGGGCAGTTTTCATGTAGGGACACCAACCCAGATTGACCAGGCTGCCTCTTAGAACGCCTCACTTGCTCTCCTAGTGTTCACTCACCTTTTGCTTAACTGGATACCCCCAGCATCTCTGCCTTGTCTTCTTGTGAAGCTGAGCTTGTGACTCACTGCACCCAAGTGCAACCTGCACCTTTTTCCATACTCATGTGAATTGTAAGTGTGTAATGGAAATGGAAAATGTGGCAACCACACTGGGGGTGGGTGCAGTAAGTATTTTTTTCTGGACTTTGCTTGTGATCAATGTAAGGCTCTTTAAGGAGCAATTGCATTAATCACACACTTTCACAGTACAAGATGAAGACATCGGAAATCATAACACCCTGAGTGTGAACTATACGCAGCATCCAACCGTGCATGATACAAATCCTGCTCACAAAGAACCTAACCACGTCATTAGTTATTACAACTTAATCATAGTCATGTAGTGCATCTCAGACAGATTTTGCTACATTATCCCAGCATCCTGTGCTCTAGACAACTCAAGCAGACACACAAAGGGGAGGTTATGGACTCTGAAAGGCTGGGAGAGCAGCAGCAGTCTTCTGAAGAGGGAGATGAGGATGTTGAGCAGGAGGAACATGATCTTCACCAAGATAAAGCACTGCAGCATCGGGTACAACAAGCCAGACAGAACTTAATAAGTCTGACTCTGATGCAATGATCACTCGTTGACTATTAATTCATTGCTGCTTGAAAGGCAAGCAGATTTTGTCTCTTCCCAAATGCAAAAGCAGCTTTTATTAGGCTCCATGGACATTGGGGAAAGAGTAGCACTCCCTTAGATAGGGTTCTAAGATTGGACAAGGCTAAAGACATTGCCTTTTTCTTTTAGGCCTGCATCCATAATCTAAATGCACTCTGCTCTCTATGACTAAAAGGTGATCATTGCACTCAATTCTCGTAGAACAATCTCACTTCTGACATCTATGGGCATTCTCTATATCATTAACCAGATTGCAGTACATTCACGCACTAACTAAATGACTAAAAAAATACAATACATCTGCACAAATTGGTACCTCCTGTTTCACAGCAAGGCTACAAAGGTAAAAAGCCATCCAGTTTTACAAGGTTGTTTCCATTCCCAACGTCAAGGTGTAATCAATGGTATCCACATTACTTTGTGAGCTTCCACACAGTTATCCCTCAACTGTTGATAAGAAGGCCTTCTACTCATTCAATAAGCAGGCTGCATGGGACAATGGATTCTACATTTTAACACCAGATTTGTCAGATCTTCTCATGATCCACAGTATGTGCCTCTTTCTTATTTTTCCAAGGATGAAATTGGGATCAATAGAAAGTTTCTGAGTGACCAAAGTTTACTTTGTACTCCTGCAGATAATGATTACACTGTGAATGGCTCAAGTAACAGCAAAAGATGACTGCAAGATGATACGAGACTAATAATTAAGAGTAGCACTAAGGTGTTAAAGGCACACATAAAAGATCTTGAGTCTCTTTTTATTTCCTTCCATTGATATCTTCATCATCTCTTTCTTCTCATTAGCATTTTTCACAGAGAGATAATTTTCTCTCTATTTTTCTTCATCATCAGATGGTGCAAGTGCCATTATTGGCAAGTTTTCTGCCATGCCTACCCAGCAGTCTATGTGCCCCAATGTCAGCTCCCTCGAGAAGGCCAAGATCTGAGTGAAATTATAACATTTTATTCTGTGTCGGTATGCCATGCCCTTGCCTCGTTTGGCTGTATTTGCCAGATGTGTACGCCAGATCCACTTGTGGTTGACATTCTTGAGCAGTATTGGAAAAAGATTAAATGATACATGCAGCCAAAAGGGATGAGAGTCAAGTGAATGACTCCAATAAAGTTGGAGAAGACTCAAGTGAGAGAGACAAGACTGATCCATACTTCATCAACACAGTGTGGAGCTGGAGGAACACAACAAGTCAGGCAGCATCAGAGGAGCAGGAGAGTCGACGTTTCGAGTCGGGACTCTTTTTCAGAACTGAACAGTTCTGTTGTCTCTGACTTCAGCATCTGCAGTTGTTGGTATCTTTGAGTGACTGGTCCATACTTACTGCTTGTCCCCTTTTCTACTGTTGTATTGTTCAGCCAGAACTGTCTTTTTTTAAAGGTTGCACTTCAATTTTGTGAACGTCACTGTTCCCACGTCATGTGTCACATTACTCATATAAAAAAAATTCTTTTTTCTGGAAAAAAAATCAGTTTGTATTTGAATGATCAGTTGAGTGTTAAGTAGCTTAAAATCCTGAGTTTTATTGTCTTCAACACTAATTCCTGGAGTTTGGATGGCAAGCATGACACTAAAAACAAGCCAAGACAGATTTTAATAATGAAGATCTCTACAAACAATTCAC